CCAATATCGTCATCACCGATATCTATGACCACTAGGGATGGAGAGACCAAATGCACCTTAGTTCCTCACAACAGGTGGAATGGCAGTCAAGGATGGGATATACCAAGATTTGGTCTAGGTACAAAAGTCTTTGGTTGCATTCACACTGCAGAATAAATCCAGTTTGACAGTGCTTTAACCATCATGCTATGGAATCCTGGAAATGGTAGCTTGTGTGGTACCAGAGTCTCTGACAGAGAAGGCTAAATATCTCACAAAACTACACATGCCAGAATTTCATCACACTGAGCCATGGCAGTTCAAGTGGTATCAAATTGGATTGTTTCTGCAATGCAGATGCAGTTCAAGTCACGCTACTCAAAATGGTGGTCTGTGGACTGGTATTGGCCAGAAAGCTATTGGCTGCCAGTCTGTGATAAGTTTCCAGGAAAGAAAGAAAAAGTTGTAGTCAGTTCTGGTCCCTGGTACATTGGCAGGACGACGATAACAATGATTTATAAACGTATATATTACTGTTTATCACTTTGGTGTGGAAGGTGCAGCTACAGTAGCCAGTGGAAAGGTTAGCAAAACTTACTTCTTCATTTGGTGCTCAGTGCTAGAACCAATGAGTAAGGACAGCATGGAAGTGTTGCTAGAAGAAACATGATACTCTGCCACTATGGCCAGTAGCAGCTTATGCACTTGTACTCTGGGAGCTGGATGCATTTGGCGAACAAATACATTGCATTCTTCTTATAAAGACTCTGCTATGACCTTGAAGCTATGTTCAAGGCTGCACTTTATTATTTAAATGTGTGTGCCTGGTCCTCTGATGAGAGCAAGACAAGTGGGCCCTAGGTATCTTCTAGAGTTTGGGTCCAGGACCCCCATGGGTAACAAAATTGGTGGATGCTCAAGTGTCATTAAATACAGTGGCTTAATAAAATGGTGTTCCTTACATAAAATGGAAAAAAAGTTTTGCTGTAAGTAGAAATTATCCCACCTAAGCATCAAAATCTGGAGGGCAGAATTTTTAGTTAGGAGTGGCAATGCTCTCATTTGGCTCTCCTCCCACATACCTACACCACGGCTGAGATCACGACTTTTACCTGCTAGGTTTACACCCAGGGCAAGTTACTTCTTAAAAGTATTTAATTCCCAGCCTGCAAAATATACTTACAAGCAGTTAAAGGGCCAGGATTTGAGGGAATCTCTGGCCAAGACTCCTAACCATCTGTGGAACTATCTTCTGTTAACTGTCATGATTGTGTTGCCAATGCTTCTTATTGCTATTGTCTGCTGTCTTACCAGTCAGTCAATGACTTATCAGGCAGGCTGCTCTTTCTTCTCAGTTCACTTCCCAAGTTCAGTTTCCAAAATTATTTCTTTGTCTGTTGTTCTCACGTCAGATATTTTCAAATATAATGCAGATTCAAAGTTAGACCCACCATCAACATTGTAATGAAGGACCATGAGTTTGAGATATTCCTTGTAGGAACAATCTTCTTGTGTATGGTATGAACTGTATCATGCTATTAGCTTATCTCAGGGGTAGGCAACCTTTCCCCTTTAAGGGCCG